TCTTGTTTATTCCTCAGTCCAAATCCCATGCTCTTAAAAGTAGCATACTTCTATAGCGTTTGGAAATGAAGAGATGGTCATTAAGATTTCTGTGCTCGTGATCAGCATACATAAAAAATCCCCAGATCCCTGCCCTCAACCAGTGCATTAAGTAATTTGAAGTCAACTGGACCACATGGCCATTATTGGAACTCTGCAAATCCCTGGACTCAACAATAAAAATCTCTCAGGATTACATGTCAAGCAATGGTTTATATTTCCTCAGTTTTAGCTACTGTTGAAACAGGAAGAAGAAAAGAAAAAAATTAGTTGTTGCTATCAGCAATAGTATGTTCTTGACAAGAAAAGAGATTAACACAATTATAATTTTCCTCAATCAAATGTTTGTTGATATTCCATTGGTCTTACCAAATTGTGTATAACTGAATCAATATTTTAAGAACAAGGAAATAAATCAAATTAAGCAGGACCTTTATATTCAATTACATTACTTGGTTTAAAAACAAAGAAATCCCTCTTGTCAATGAGAGCCATTTCTGAAAACCCTCTCCCAACCAGGGGGAACAAAATCTTACCACAAACTGGAATTCTAGACTTAGAATTGCATGAAAGATAAATTACATTTCTTTACAAAAGCCAACCTGAACAAATCTATTATTGAATCCAGTTGCTAAGGACTTAAGAAACTGAATGCTTACATAACTCCTATCTTAGATATTTCTAGAAAAAGCTAGACTCTCATATAGCTACAAATAAGAACTATAGTATTAAATTATGAAACCTCACTTAAATTTATGGTGGGATTTACTATATCTGGAAAGAACTGATTTGAGAGTTAGGAGATGAATACAGAAAAGTATGCACAGGTGACCCAGGTGCTTTATCATGACCCAGGTGCTTTCTCATTGCTTCAATTAGTTCTCTTTTGTTAAGATTAAATTAAAATAAAAAGCAGATGTAAAACCTGCAGCCACATGATATTATTTACATCACAGCAATAGGAGTAATATGCCATTGGTTCTCCTGAATGTGACCACATGCTTTGTTTTACACTAAGGAAATCAGATATGGAAAAGCCAAATGCTGCTTTTAAAATATTACCATGAAGTTAAGAGCCAGGCCAGCCCATCTATGTGCGAACATTGTAACCAGCAAGCTCATAAGGAAAAGGTTTCCTCTCAGCCCTTTTCACAACAACCAACACTTTCTTGATCTCTGAGTCACATTTCTGGAGCCTCTCAAATTATCATGACCCAGGTGCTTTCTCATCTGACCAACTTGGCACTTTAAGGTTGCCATAGTCAGGTCAGTCAGAAAGTCTGCATGTTTCAACTTGTTTGGGAAACTATTTTTGGACCACAGTTTTAAAAATCTCAGAAAGAATCTTTTAAATATCAGGTCCTCATCAAACACACACTTTCTCAGTTCCCATAATGTGCTGCTTTTTGTTTCATTATATGATCACTCCACAACTTGTTCTGTGATTATATTCTATCCTCCAATAACCTACCAGCTGCCTTAAGGCCAGAGATGCAGACACATACTAATCTGAATACTTAACATCAACCATCACAGCATCTCCTATGAAATAAGCCGGCATTCAAAGAAGTGTTGATGCCTGTGCAGGGATTGGACAAGTAACATAAATATAGGCAGTAGGCCTCAGGGCCTGCAGTACAATACAAGTAGTGGACACTAGTAAACTAGAGAATTCATGCTCCTTATAAAGCAGCAGTTGCTACTTGGCTCGGTCCTGTAGTGGGCCAAGCAAAGATTCAGGCCTAATATTGCCAGATTTTCTAATTTTTCAACAGAAACTAGAAAATTGAAATTTTATATGAGGTCACCCAATTTTTAAATATTGATTATAAACTCTATATGGGTTAAAAGAAACCCACCTGTGAGCCCTGCAGGCGACCAGTTCTCAACCTCCTGCTGTATGATGGCAGCCTTCTCCTGGGCCTCGGACCCCTTCTGCCTCATTCACAACCTCCTCTTTCTCTTCCTGCCTCTCACTCACAGAAAGACACTTTCTTCATACTCCTAGATGTGCTTTCTCTCTCCTCTGAACCACCACAATACTTTGTTTATAGCCTTTGATTGTGCTAGCCTATGTTGTTTTCTATATGTTATCTGTATAATCTGTGCCTCCTATAAAAAACAAATTCCTTAAGTCACTTCTTATTCTTTTTATATAATAAAAGGCTAATATGCAAATTTTCTCCTCAAACGGGAATTCCACCTGTAGTTCAACTGGGAGCTCAACCAGGGGTTGGGGCCAGTCGGCCAACCACCTGCGGCCCTCCCCACCGCCAACCCCACCCTCAACTGGCCCCTCTCACTCTGATCGGAAGCGGGGCTGGCCGGACCCCACCTGTGCGTGAATTCATGCACCAGGCCTCTAATAATATCATTGTTATTCTAATAATATCATTGGTTGAATTCTGTGTCAGACACTGCTAAGCATTTTACATATATTAACTCACCTACTCTTTAAATGAACACTAAAGAATTACATTGTAATTACTATTTTACAGATGAGGAACCTGGAGATAGGAGTATTTCTAATTAATTCCCAGGCCTCAGAATAGTAAGCGAAAGATCCAGCACTTACAGCGAGTTCTATATTTGCCTGATGAATCTTTAAGTGTCTTATAACTCCTTGCACACAGTGAGCACTTAATTAATATTTGTTGAATTGATTGTTGAAAAACAGAAGTCTATATTTAATTTAAAAGACATTCTTAAGGAGCATGAAGAAAAAAAATTTGATGAGTTAATGTTTGCAGGAGTGAAAAATAAAAATAATGTGAATATTCACTATGAATATTTGTGGGTCAGCTGTAGATTTTCATCAACTGAAAAGATATGCCGAGTTTTTCCAAGATATTTTTCAGTGTATTTATTCAAAAAGAATTCCAATCCAAAAGTAATATTCATAAAATAATTTGCCAACTTAGCATTTCTGGCTTGAAAATTCAATGTGCAATTCTGATTTTAGTTAGAATGAGGAAATGCCAAATTGAAATTGAATAAAAGTTCAAAAGATATTCTTTATTTTGCATGAAAAAGCATTCGTCATTTCTTTTCAACAACTAGGATGTCATATTTCTGTTTTTCCATCCAATGGGAGTCCCAAAATGCAATTTTCTCTTTTCTTTTAATTAATGTTTTACATAAAATATATAATCTCAGTATGTAACAACTAAGTAATGTAATGGTTCCCCTATTACTATTTTCTAAATATTTTATCAGAACCATAAATGTGCACTCTGAAAATGTGATTTAAATGACAATGACAGAATCTAACCATAGTCATCGTTAGATTAAAGTTATTTAAAAAGTCCTAATGGCTAAACAAATCTCTAAATCCTCAGTTTCTCATTCAAGAATAACATTTGATACCATGAAAAAAATATTTTCTATCTTTAGGACCATTATTCAGCTTTCAAATCTCAGCTGCCACTGATATCTAACAACAATAAAAAAATTTAAAAGTCAGCTGTAACACAAGGATATTCCACATCTTGGCTTCCTCCTTTTGAGAAATGGCACCCACTAAAATAAATAAACTAGCCATGTAGTTAGTGCTGATGTCCAGGAGTACATTTGGAAGGGGACTGAGGTTCCAATTCTCTGTTTTCCAAGAACTCTGATTCCAGTCCAGAAATCAGTGGCTTCCATCACCACCACTACTGCTGTAAAAGCTCAGAAGCAGCTGTGCCTGGCCCTCTGACACACAACCTCAGGAGGCTAAGCTGGCTCCCTGGAGATTTGCCAGTGACCAAACTTTCTTCGGAACATTTTTTAAAACTGCCCTTTCCCCTGAGATAGTTTAAATTGGCCCAAAGCCAAATTGCTAACCTTCAATTGATAGCTTGGATAAAAGATTCACTATAAAGCAGAATTATTACCTATCAACTACTGATGTTTAAATCTTTTTAAGAACAAAGAAAAGTACATGCATGTAAGAGCATACAGAGAATGAATTGGTGAGATGTTTCCAAAACTGGTAGAGGGTCAGTAAAAATAACAAGAGTCCAGCCATTTTCTCTTCAGGTGAAAACTGCTATCCAAGGCCAAACTAGGTCCCAAAAAGTACTGAAATATAGTGGAGGTGGGGAAGAGGGAATAATTTTTACTTTTCCAAAGCTGCTATTATTCTTCTGTTTTTCTACTACATCTCCTACTAGCTTTGTAAAAAAATATTTGAGGGAACTATTGAGAGAGAAAACACATCCATTTCAAAACCCTCATAGGAGAATAGCCATCAACCTAGTGAGCTTCACTGCTTAATGTCCTATTAAGGGAGCTAAAGAATGTGTCAGAATAAGGGACAGTGGCTACCAGTGCTAATACCTACAACTAGAGGAATAAAAAGAAACATGGCTCTCAAAGGACTAATCAGTGCTATATTGATTTTCTTCCCTCTCCTCTCTCCTGATCACAATCAAGAATTGGCTTTGCCCTAGCTGGTGTGGCTCAGTGGATAGAGCATTGGCCCATGGAATGAAGGGTCACAGGTTCAATTGCAGTCAAGGGCATATACCTTGATCCCTAGCCCCAATTGGGCACATACGGGAGGCCACCAATTTATGTCTCTCTCTCACATCGATGTTTCTCTCTGTCTCTTCCCCTCCCTTCCCTTCTCTCTATAAATCAATGGAAAAATATCCTCTGGTGAGAATTAATAACAACAAAAAGAATTAGCTTACATCTTAAGAAATAATAATATTGATATTAAAATAATATTTGCTCAGTAACTCCATCCCAGCAAATTACCAACTGAAATAAAAAATGTATAGAGAGAAGTCACCAAAGAAAAATACACACTATAATAGAAATTACTATCACTGCAGTTGTGGTCATGGAAGTTGTAAAGCAACTGGGAAGAAGGAAAAGCAATTGGGAAGATACCTCTTTAGTTAAAAAGTGGACTACCAAATGTGAACTAGCACACATAAACCTAAGCGGTCCATGCACTCTTGAGTATAATATACCTGATCATTTTGATATCCAAGTCCTGGAGAAAAGCTGAATGTTGTTGGGGAGGCTGCTAAGAATTCTTGGAGCTTTGTATCTATTTCAGCAAGCTGCTGATGCTGGGTGTCTGCCAGGGTATATCCCTCACCTGGGACCAGCCAGCCAGACGGATCACTCTAGAAGGAAAAAATGGTCACCAGATCATTCCCATGCTATATTTTTCCCCAAAATATAATATACCTTTCAGACTGCTACTTCAATGCTCAAGATTTCACCAAAAAAAAATTTTTTTTAAGAAAACAAAAATACAGAATTAATACTGGCATAGTGAAAGAAAAATATTAGTTTACTATTTCTGTGTAAAGTATCTCCATAAATTACCCTTTGTAGGTTTTTTGCCCGGTGGAATAAATCTCTTAGCCTCACAGTCTGATTCTCGTTGTATGCTCATTTCTCCACTTCGTGCAAGTGGTTGCAATATGATGAAGAGGGAGAAATCATGTTTATCCTATAATAGACATGGTATTTTCAAAAATTTTGAAAACTAATATAAGACCTATAAACTCAGTTGTTTAGATTTTATGAATTTTAACTGGCCATCTAACTCATTCAACTATCATTATAGTGTCATAATAGATTAAGACCCATTTGTAACATTAATTCAAAAATCTCATACTGAAGAACATATATGCACATATGCATAGCCCATGGACACAGACAATAAATAGTATGGAGAAGGCCTGGGTTGGAGTGGGGGGGACAAAAATGGAAGAAAATGGGAGACACCTGTAATGCTGTCAATAATTTTTTAAGAATCTCATACTGAGAGCCTACTCTTGGTAGGCATTACACTGGTGACTCAACATGAACCGGGGAGGGTCAACCACCCTCTGTTAGTTGGACAGGAAGGAACAAAGTGGTTAGAAAAGGCTTCCTGGCAGAAATAATCAATAATGAATTGACTAAAAATAAATTTGAAAATGTCAATAAAAACAAATTTGTAAATAAGATTTTTTAAAGCCAGACAATATTATCTCATAATTTTTAAATGACTGTGAATGTATACTAATAGGTCAATAACATGATAAATATATATATATATATATATATATATATATATATATATATATATATATATATATAATATATAGAAGTGTAGAGGTAACTGACTCAGAGTTTACATACCTCAGAACTGGACACTCCAGAATCTCTGTCATCTAAGTCCTTCAAAAGTTCAATCAGCCTTTTCTTCTCTGTGTCAATCATAACCTCTGGTTTCCCTGAATTCTTGGCCATCTACAGAATGTATTAATGAAAAACATTAAAAACTCAAAGCAATTCATAGTTGCTGTAAATTAATTAATTGGCATTCTGGTCTAAAACAGGGTCCCTGAGCCCTTGGTGAGTCTGAATCTGCTTTGAGAACAAACCATGTCAGGCTGCAAGCCTCTTAAGACCAAGGTCAGCCTTTGAAGCCAGGAGCTAATCAAGGCAGTGACAAGGGAAGAGCCACCAGGAGGCTCAGGTGGGCGGGCCAGTGGGGTTGGGAGGAACAACCAGTTGGAACAACCAGCTCTGTCAGGAGCATTTTCCATTCAAATTTCTAATTGTACCAGCTAGAAAAGCAGTCTCATTACTTAAAAAAAAAAAAAAAAAAAAGACAATTTTATTAATATGCAATTTAGAATCTGGGACACATGTTCCAAAGCTCTTATCTAAATAAATGTTTTTCAAATTGCAGGAACAAGATTCATTCCTGGTTTTGGAATAAAGGTGATGAGTAAGAGAGGATAAGATAAAATTAAATACAAAATAGTAAAGTACTGGTTCATAAAACGATTCTTTCAGTCATATATCTGCTTAGATCATATACATATATCACAGTCAATATTTAAAGACACTAAACACAACTATTTCCATTATCACAATTCATTTAGTCCACATTCTGGCTTCTAAATTTATAAATACATACCTCAATGTTTCGCTTAATAAAATCCTGGCTGTGTTTACTCCTGAGCTCAGTCTTTTCTGTATTTGAGAAAGGGTTCTTTTCTGCTTTGACCAATGACTCATTTTTTTCCACATCACAAGTAAAATCTAATATTAAAAAGTTCAAAATTTTTTCATAATTATAATTGTCAGTTATGCTAAAGTTTTACCTTAAGTATATATAAGAAGCAAAACACACATTAGAAGAACTTCTAATTTCCAAATCCAGAAACCTAATATATAGAGATTTATTTTTTAAAAGATAAATGTGCTACATAATTTACAATAAAGTTCTCATAAAATTTCTGTTATTCATTATCATGTATCAAACTGCTTGCTGTTGATTCCTTTGGAATCATGAAGACTGTGAAAAGAACCATGATACATGTAAAGGAGAAAGTTCTGATGTTATGAGAATTTTAAAATATATGCTACTTTAGTCTTTACATGAAAGAGAACTTCCCCTGAAAGACTAGATTCTTTATTAATCTGCCATCACCCTCTCAGAACATCAACTTTTTATTTAAACCTGTCTTTTAAGCAAGATCTGAGCATAAGTGTCCTGGGTGTCATCACAAACTCCTGGAGCCCATCCTATTTTGACAGTTTTCTCAACCATTAAATAGAGACTTAAGTCAGTCTCTGAGTTGTTCAGATCCTGGGTGCTCCAAACAAGGGTAAGAAAAATGCTTATGCACTCTTATTCCCTGTATTAAATACTAGAGGCCCGGTGCACGACATTCGTGCACTCGGTGGGGGCAGACAGAGTCCCTCAGCCTGGCCTGCACCCTTTTGCAATCTGGGAGCCCTTGGGGGATATCCGACTGATGTCTTAAGCCGTCAGACAGACATCCTTAGCACTGTCATAGAGGCAGACCACTGCACTCACCAGCTGTCAGCCTGGCTTGTGGCTGAGCAACACTCCTGCTATGGGAGTGCACTGACCACCGGGAGGCAGCTCTTGCACTGAGCGTCTGCCCCCTGGTAGTCAGTGTGAATCACAGCTGTTCGGTCAATTTGCATATTACCCTTTTATTATATAGGACTAGAGGCCCGGTGCACCGATGGAGTTCCTTGACCTAGCCTGTGCCCTCTTGCAATCCAGAACTCTTCGGGGATGTCAGAGAGCTGGTTTCTCCCCGATCCCCACAGGCCAGGCCAAGGGACCCCACCAGTGTAAGAATTCGTGTACCAGGCCTCTATTATACATATAAGATCTTTGGTTAATCTCTTCCCACCCTCCCTGTTCCCTGCTTCCCTCTGAGATTCATCAGTTTGTTTCCATGCTTTTGTGTTGAGCGTCTGCCTCCTCATGGTCAGTGCATGTCATAGCTACTGGTCGAACAGTCGAATGGTCAAATGATTGAATGATTGCTTAGGCTTTTATTACATAGATCTTGCTTTCAATACAGTTATGTTTAAAGCATTTAAAACAAGATCATGTGAACCCCTCACTAATGCTTTAAAACTATGCATTAGTTTAAGAAGTAGAGTCTTCTTAAATGACAAGTGGAGTCCGCTCTACAAAATAGGATAGATTGCCACATTCAAATCCAAAAGGAAAAAACACCAGCCAGCAGCTCAATCCAGACAAGGTTTACTTAAAAGTTATCTTTGTTTTATAAAAAGGTTACCTCAATAAAAAGGATTAAGGGTATTTGTAGTTAATTATCCAAGATTGAATATAAATTTAATCATTAAACAATAAATTTTGATAACAATATCTGGAAAGAACCAGCAAAATAATATCTTTGGTTTTAAATTCATTTCAAACAAAAATAAATTTGAGTAAAACCAAGTTTTATTCAGATTTAAGTTATGAGTTTCTAGACAAATAAATCTGTGCTTTATAATTAAGGTTTTATTTTCTAATCAATTAAGTAATATTTTAAAATCAACTACAAATAATTAAAATAGCAATTACTGTTTTGGTGAATGGTCTCCTTAGATGTAAAATATGTAACTTTTTTCCATAATACGAGTTGTAAATAGTCTTTTAAGTTTAAATATAAAGTTTATCACACAGTTGAAATTTCCTGTACTCTTAAATAATACAACATTAAAATAACTCAAATTAAATGTATCCAGATCTACATTTTATTAGAGTTTCTTTAAAATATACTTTTAAAATTTTGTAGAAAACACTGGATTGTCTGGTCAGAATTGTCTCACTAGATATGTCTCCTTCTAATCTCCATCCTGGTGGTGATCCCTGACAGAAGCTGCCATAGTCAATAGAGACCCAACCCACACTGGGTAGGAGGAGTTGGCTGAACCAACAGTAAGCACTAACCCAAGTTGGATCAATTGGTCTCTAAGATTCTGGAATAGAGTCTCCTTCTCATGACTATCCACAGAATATGCTCTTGGGAATAAAACAGAATGTCTACCTTCAGGATTCTTTCCATACATTTTCTTTTTTGCTTTAGCTAGGTTTTCATTACTTGCAGCCAGCTTTCCTTTAACCCTTTTTATGTAAAATTTTAAACATCCTAAACTAGAAAGAATTGCATAATGAATAGTCAACAACTAACTGATTAAAAATTATCAATCTAGTTTCATCTAGAACCTCACCTACTTCCACCCACTTACTGATTAAATCACATCAAATCATCTCATCTGTGGATACTTCTGTATACAGCTAGTACTTTCTTGTCATGATATGGAGGAAAAAAATCACACAAATTCAAGCATACCTTGATTGGCATTCTGCATTTGGTTTTCATATTCTTCTGGAGGTACTTGAGTATGAAACACTGAGACAACTGTGTCTTCATGCTTACAGCGAGAAGGATCTATTGATTTTTTAAAAATCATTTGTTTAATACACACAAAATAAGGAATTGTGTACACAATTTTGATATCAAATCATGAGAAGAACATGTATGTTGTAATTGAACAATTAAGTAGAGAGGTAGCCAATGGTGAGAGCCAGATTTCTCCCTGTTGGAGTGAAGGTTACAGAAGAGGAAGGTGGAAAGGCTAGAATGATCCATTTGGTAGTAAAATTGGAAACATCAGTATGGAATAATTTTTATCCTAATATAGATACAGATTGTTACACAGAAATATGTATAGATAGGTTAGTATACAGATAAATATTTCCTTTCTTGGAGGGCCTAGAATTAACAACTCCCCAGCAGCAACAAGCACACCTAACATTCAAATCTTGGTTTCCAATATTTTTCAATCAGAGGAACCAGTGTTTCTTGGGAAAATGGCTAAATGTAGGACTCAGGTAGGATATATAGCAGATGGGTCTGGAGCATCTTCTAATGCCATAAAGTAAGAAAGTGCTCAGCAACCACAACAAAACAAAACTCAAATGATGGGGATATGTCTAAGGGACATAGCAGTTGACTTAAAGAGCTCCCAATGGCCAAAACTGGAAAAAGTTTGAGCAACAAAATAATGTGCTATAGGATTATAATACAACATATACAATAAACCATTAGTCTATACTGATATTAATAAACAAGCATGGAGCTGAAACCGGTTTGGCTCAGTGGAAAGAGCATCGGCCTGCGGACTGAAGGGTCCCAGGTTCGATTCCGGTCGGGGGCATGTACCTTGGTTGCAGGCACATCCCCAGTGGGGGGTGTGCAGGAGGCAGCTGATTGCTAATTCTCTCTCATCAATGTTTCTAGCTCTGTCCCTCTCTTTTCCTCTCTGTAAAAAATCAACAAATATATATATATTTTTAAAATAAATAAATAAGCATGGAGAATACACAAATCCCCCTTGCAGAATAATTCAAAATAATGTATGTAAATACTCTGCATTCAAGGAGGTAAAGCTCAACTCCCTATTTCTTAGGTATGGTCTGTGCATAGTTACTTCCTTCCAAAGAGGGCAGTATGGAAAGGGTGTAAAAACAGAGGAACTTTACAATGAAGAAATCTGACAAACACTTCCTCTCAGCCAGCTGACCAAAGTTAATATCAACGGTGATAAATTATGTGGATAGGATGATGTGATGTGATGGAAAGGTACTTTCACTCTTTGGTATTCCAAGAACATATGTCCCGCCGAAACCGGTTTGGCTCAGTAGAAAAAGCATCAGCCTGCGGACTGAAGGGTCCCAGGTTCGATTCCGGTCGGGGGCATGTACATTGGTTGCAGGCAATCCCCGATGGGGGTTATGCAGGAGGCAGCTGTTTGATGTATCTCTCTCATTGATGTTTCTAGCTCTCTATTCTCCCTTCCTCTCTGTGAAAAATCAATAAAATATATAAAACAAAACAAAACATATGACCCTAGTCAAATCATGAGAAAAGCATAACAAATTTCAATTGCTGGAAACTTACAAAATACCTGGCCAGTCCTCAAAACTACCAAGGTCATCAAAAACAAGGAAAACTTGAGAAAGCACATAGCAAGAAGAGCCTAAGGAGACATGAGGAATAAATGAAATATGGTATCCTGGATGAGATCATGGAACAGGAAAAAGGCACTAGGTAAAAACCAAATGTCTGAATCAAGTATGGACTTAAGTTAATAATATGTCAATATTGGTTCATTAATTGTAACTAATGTACCATACTAGTGTAGGTAATGGGGAAAATTAGTTGCAGTTTTATGGAAAATCTCTGTACTATCTTCATAACTTTTCTGTAAATCTAAAATTATGCTTTAAAAGTTAACAAAACATCTAGATTAAATAAAAGAAAAACATGAACAAAATTAGAAATAATAAATGGGATGTATAAACAATAAGAATTATTGTTCTAGGTCCTCGAAGTTAGGCCAGTCCGGGTCAGTTTCGACCGGTGGGGGGGCTCCCCTATCAGGCCCCAGAACGATGGCGGTGTTTCACGACGAGGTGGAAATCGAGGACTTCCAATACGACGAGGACCTGGAGACGTATTTCTACCCCTGTCCTTGCGGCGATAACTTCTGCATCACTAAGGAAGACTTGGAGAACGGGGAAGACGTGGCCACGTGTCCTAGCTGCTCCCTCATTATAAAAGTGATTTATGACAAAGAGCAGTTTGTGTGTGGAGAAACAGTCCCAGCCCCTCCCACCAACAAAGAATTAGTTAAATGCTAAAGAAAGACTTTGGGAATCCAAATCCTGAACATTCGGGGATGAACCACGCTGAAAAAGTCGAGGCACAGATCCTGGCTTCCTCATGGGGACAACTGCTTCATAGTTTGCTGCTGTGGATTCTTTTCATCGGCTTTGCTGCTGTGGATTCTTTTCATCGGCTCCGTGTTCATCTCCAATTAAAGAAGCAAGTCCATGACATGACATTCCTGGATTTCATGCTTAGAACTTTGAATTGGAAAAGGTGTTCTTTATTTTCACATGAATGTAAAGGAAGATAATTCCAGTCAGTGCTTTCATTCCCTCATTGTTATTTTATCTTATACCTAATTTATTATTTGATAGCATCGTCTACCTCAAAGTCATTTGGATTCCTTCATTTAAAAAGGTTTCATTTAACTGGTTATTAGGATTATTAAAATTAGGCCTTTTTGAAATTGGCATTAGGTTTGGTATTCTAACTGAAGAAAATAAGTTTGCCTTGTCAGTACTGCTCTGACGTTCCCACTCCAAGCCAGTCTTCTGGGTCCGGCCATTAACAGAACGTTCTTGTTTTGTTAGGCACGTCTTTTCCATTGTACCTCCGTGCTCTTGAGTTCTAGTCACGGTATTTTAGAGATAACATAATAAGCTCACAGTTTTTTTCCAGAGCTAAAAGTTAGAAAAGTCAAAAAGGATATGGAGTTTCCTGTCAACATTCTGCATGTTCCTTGAAAATCAGGATAAGACAAAAAAGGAGAACAGCCCAGGAAGTGAAATTGGCAACAGAATGATGGGAGAAAAACAAGGCAGCTCACTAAATTAAATGCTTGAATGTTGTCGCCAGATCAGAGCAAATACTATTTCTGTATCTGGGTTCTTGTTTGTTTGTTGCTTGTAGACATGGTTGATGCAAGTGCATTCGAGATAGGGGTTACTGTCAGGTCTTCATGGCTCAAGGCAAATGTTTAGCATTCCCCCAATATCGAGTCACTACTCCTAAAGGTAAAGCTTTTACAAATCTTATATTTTCTGAGGAAGAACTTGAAAATGAGATGCCTATTCTCAGTAAGTATGCCCCTGAGAGCACATTTAATAAGCCTCTACAAGTTGTCACCAAATCAAACATTCACCCTTACAGAGAAATGTTGCCCAGGAGAAAAAGAAATATGCAAAGATAGGCTATCAGTCTTCCTACAATGTAGTGCTGAGAGTGGCAAGAAATTAGATCACTTACATGCAAATGCAAAAATTCTCTTTATATGCACAATTTTGCTGTGTGTATCAATTAAAAAAAAAAAAAAACCAACACTGATGTCTGGCAGAGTGTGGGGAATGGCTCCCACAAGTAAAGAGAAATTCCTGCCAGAATGTAAACATTGTATTACTGGTTGATAAACATGCTACATACACTCTTTGGGGTTTAAAACAAGTGAGTGGCCTTTTTTTTTTTTTTTCTTTGCCAGCCAGCAGCATGGCCATGTGTAGCCATTAGCTGAGACATAAAATAAATTACCAAAAATGTGTGCCGAAAGTACTTGGTACATTACATGAAGCATTATGTGGCTTATTCTTGATGCGATGAGAACCTCATTGCTGTTCAGGGCACTGGCACCCCAGAAGCCATCCACACCTGCTTTGGAATCCATGATGGCTCCGATGAACAGCAGGTGCTGACTTGATTAGAAATGAGCTGCAAACAGAAACAAACTGCCCATATGCAAATGGTGATGGCTTTGTAGATACCAGTGATGTTAGCTCCCTCGGTTAATGATGAATTTCAAATGAACAGGGACCCTTGATACAGGTCTATGAGCACAGAAGAGCAGAGGGAAAGTGGCCCGAGTCCAAGAAAGCATAAACAGCTATCCGTGATCAGTGTTAAGCTGCAATCATGGGAATGATTTTGTTTCCAAAGTCCCCATGAGTCACTCGGTTTGTTAACTATACTAGAACACATCAGGATTTAATTTAAATGTCTATAAAGCAGAGAGTAAAACCAGGGTCTTTCAGACATGACTAGAGTTGGGTGTGATTTATGTGCCTTATTTAATTCAGCAGACCTTTCTGGAGCACCTCTGAGAAATGTGTAATTCAGCCTCTGTCTTACTAGCTTTGTAATCTTTGGGCAAGGCCAGTGGATTCTTTATCTGCATACTTAGGAGAATCAGGAGAGACTGAATCGGGTGAGTTTTAAACCGTCACTTCAGGCTTTGTAACTTGCAGGAGCTGAAATGGTCATTGAAAGCTTTATAAACTCAAAACTGTAAGAAAGAGGCTTCATTCTTCAGTAACTTGATGTTACCATACTTCTGAATTTGAAAATTATACAGTCAACTGTGTAAATGATTATGTATATCTTTATAACTATATATTAATTTATTACCAGAATAATTGTATTGGCATGCTCAATAAAGTCAGATAATTCAAATCTAAAAAAAAAAAAAAAAAGAATTATTGTTCTAAAATGCTATGGTACACAAAATTTTATGTTACTAAAAATTAAAACCTCGGTGAAATGGATACTTTAAAATCTCAGTGACATGATTGTATTGCCAACATTGACTCCAGAAGACTAGTAAATTACTAGTAAATATGAAAGAAGCTGAAAAAGATCAGAGAAGTGCCTTCAAGGAATTATTTGAACCAGATGGTTTTTCCAGTGAAATTTTTCAAATTTTTAGGAAACAGATAATCCCCATGTTATATAAATTATTTTGAAGGATAGAAAATGAACAGCCTTATTCATTTTATGAAGTTAACATAGCC